AAAAGAGAGAGAGAGGAGGGAGGAAGAGAAGGAAGAGAAAGAAAGCAGGCGGGAGTGAAAGGGAGGGGGGAAGTGCCTAGTTAAGTAGCAGTAGTAATATCTAAGTAGTAAGTCGCAAAGTAAAGAAGTATGAAGTAGTCAAATGGATCCTCAACAGTGATCTGAGGTTGTGAGTAAACGAGTTATATCTTGCAAACAGCTTATGCTCAAGAAATCGAATATCAGGTAGAAACTGGAGGCGAAGAAGGCTTGCTATGATGGAGGTGGTGAACCTGGAATGACGATGGCAATGATGATGTTAAAGGAGAATTATAGTGAGGATGATGACTGGCTGAACGGACTGGGGTGGGAGAAGAGAGATGAAGGAAGGAAGGGTAGTTAGGTAAGTAGATAGACAGTCACTGAACAATAACTGTAAAAGAAAAGCGAGAAAAAGAGAGGGAGTGGCAGTCCGTCCGTCTGTCCGTCCCAGACAATGAAGAAGAGCAATATGCCAATAATGAATGGATGAATCGAGCCCGGAACGGTGCTTGGGATTTTAGGGGGGGGGTCCAGATGTGTTGGTGGTAGTCGAAAAGAAAGACAGGCAGACAGACCAGAGGAAGACCGATCGATGGTGGATCAGTTCTAGAGAGTGAGTGTTCGTTCTCGTCTTTTTCCACGGATCCAGTCTGCTTCCGTTCCAGGAGTTTGCAAATGACGGACAATCGGCAGTCCCTTGGGCTCTGGTTCGAGGATGACTCTTCAGTCAGTCAGTCAGTCAGTCACTCGGTCCGTTCAGTGAGGGACTTTGGTACGGAAAGGACGGAGTAGGGTAGGTAAATTATTATCATGCACTATTAAGGTGGTTTACTGGTTTACAGTAAGGTAGTTGGTAGATATTCCACTTTCATGCTGTCCGCTGTTCAACGAGCTTGTCGGAAGCTCGAGCGCGACCCGGCAGTTCGAGATGGACACGACACGCGACTTGATATTAAAGACCAGGGACTAAAAATATTGCCCAGTGAATCCCGATCTCCCCGGGGAAGTATGGTGTCGTCAAGTACAAGTACTGTACGTACTGTACTCTCGGAATAGTGACCTGGTGATAGCGCTATGTAATTCAAAACGACCATGAATTAATCACAGCCTCTGTCTCTCTAGTCTCTCTGTTCTCCGGAGCGGCTGCTTGCTGCAACAGCCGACTGACTGCGTGCGAATGGTCTGCCATCGGAGAGTGAAATATGCAAGCAAGGAGATGCCGATTGCAGCTCCAATTAATTCTACGCAAACAACCGCCACGACGGATGCGAACGTGGAGGAGTGCGTGTGCCGAGACCAGCGGGACGTGGCTGATTCAGCAGCTAACAATGCATTAATTAGCACTATCCATGATTGCAATATCGAAATTACTACTAATCCTCGTCATTCACCAATTCAGCCCACTCCGGTCTTTTTGCTCTCCAAGTCTGGCCCCATGTCCCGGGGGAGACGCGAAGAGAACAAAAAGATCCAAATCCACAATTGATGCTGAACGGCTGAACAGGTGGTCGATCTGGGTCCTGGCTTCCCGAACACACCCTGCGAAACAAACGCTCGGAACCTGGAATGAACCCCGCGTTATCCGTGGCGGCATGACTCGATAGTTGATGACAAGATCAAATCCCACTAAGTCCAACACTCAACACACTCCGAGGCTAGTTAACTTTAGTAGTGAGTCTAGCACGCACGCAACTCTTTCTAGATGCCGGCTGCCTGCTTGAAGCACTAACTAACACTAACTAATCAACAATCAACTAAATTACCCAGGAACTAATTCCTTAGTACACTACAGTACCTTCTGCTCTCTTCTGCTACCCCTGTTCCCTAGTCTTCTCTCTCTACTCTACTGATTACCGTAGACCAACTACGGACCACCTTACCTCTCAACGGCGGGCGCATCTGCAATTCGTACTCCGTATATGACGAATGCTGTCTCATGCGCTAAAGCCAAAACCAAGTATCCCAACCATGTCAGAGAAGAACCCTAATCTTCTCTTCCCATCTGATCACGAGCAAGTCTCACTGTACGACAGAAAGCCTGCCCGTGGATGAGACCCGTGGTTCCCGGCGACCAGGAGCCTCTTGCTGTGCGGCTCCACACGAGTGCATTTCGGCGTTTCCATTGCGCAGACGGAAAACCGAGAGTAAAGATCAACATGCAAGGCTCTGGCGGTGGTAGGTATAACTCAGTTACCACACAGTGATCACCAAATGGGACAGTCTAGACAAGACCGTAGATTGACCAGAACTGACGGCCTGTATCTGTTCTTGGGGTCTAGAAACTCGGCCCGAGACGCATGCATCGACCGGACGAAAACCAGTCTGGGAAGATTTGAAAATGAAATTAATCAAATCATATTGGAAGACCCAGGGCCCGTGATCGTAGCCTGCAGTCTGCCAAAGCTGAGGCCAGATTCCTATCATGTGATTGCGAAGGGGGAAGAAGGATTGTTGTTGTTGGTGTTGTTATTGACAAGGGAAAAGACGGAATCAGGGGAGCAGGTCTGGGTCGCGCAGTTCTTGCTCTCCTTCTTCCCCCCCACCTCCCTCCCGCTCTCTCTCTCTCGTCTAGACCCGCCACCATATCCTACACAACGTCTCTTCGGACGACACGATAAGCCGCCCCCCCCCCCTCCATACACCTTGTTGTTGTTGAGGCACAACCCACATGCCGACATGTAGATACCTTTTCTGAGGGCCGCTAGTCACTCCGACAAACCCACCACGATATAGTCCGATGAGGCGACAGCAGTAGAAATGGGATTAGTCGTACCTAATTAGAGTCTGGCGGACTAGTTCCAACCATGCGCTGCGGGCATGGGAAGTAGTTACTGTACAGTTCAGAACTGTACAGTGGTGGGTGGGGGGAGGAGATAGGCGTGTGGCCACCACCACCCTATCTGGTGAAGGGAAACAGGCCCTGGATATGTGTGTGGCTTGCCATGGATCAATGAGAATGCTCAAACTCTGATGTTGATTTTCCTGCCTGGAATTCCACAGGAAAGCCAATCACCACGGCCCGTCAGACCGATGGGCCTCCGGACTGGCTGATGCGGCGCCTGTCCCCTGAATTAGATTGGCCCAGGTCTAATTTCGATGCGCGGCAATTGTAACAATAAGCAACAAGTGAAAGAGAGGGAAGGGGAGTGGGAGGAGAGGGGGAGGAGGAGAAAAAGCCCGGCATCAAGCACTGGGCAGACTTAAGTCAACTGTCCGCAGAAAAGTAGATCTGCTACAAATCGGGCGTCAGACAGGCAGGGCAGGGTCAACCCCTGCCCACGGTGAAAGCTGAGGAGTTCCATGTCCGAACCTCTTGTTTACACCAAGAATCAGGCACTGGGTCGGCCTTGGTAACTGGTCGTCGCCGTAGTGGTTTCTGCCTGGCCGTTGATGCCTATATGCATGTTAGGTAATTCAGAGTTACTAGTTAACGGATGGCCCTTGTGAAGCCGATACATGGGCTGCAGCCGCTTGTGAGGTATTTGTTGAATCATACCGGAGGCGTGCTGACCTGTTGATATAACCTGCCGTGGGAAACCTTATGGTTTATGATTACGGATGGAATGCATCCATGATGACAGTATGTCTCTGGTGAGCGGTCGATTCCCTGCCTGGTCACCTGCCAGACCTCAAATGCAAGGACCACTCGGGCCCTACTTCCGCTGTTATGACTTCCTCTGAAAGGCTTGTTCATAATAACAAAGTACCCCCGTGACAGGCCACAGGCTAGTCTACAGGAGACATACTCCAGCAGTGAAGCCTGCATAGCAAAGTAAGGAAGTACTACCTTACTCCAGTTCTAGACTCTGCGAGCACGCACCACCCCAAGAGTCATTGCCCAACGTGTGCGCACAGGATTCGGTGCAGAACAAAATCCATCGCAAACAGATGCTAATTGATATTAATCACAAATGCGAGACGCAGTCACATAATCAGCGCACATAATGTACATAAATTCTCAACCCAGAAGTGTTTCCAAATGTATATCACTCTCTCAATAAACGCCAATAAGTAATGCCAGGAGTGTAACATCCAGGGATAATTTTTTCTCCAAACTTCCGCTCCGGCCCTCCGATTCTCTTTCCTTTCTTCTCACGCGTCACGGGCCTTGTTCGACCGTTTTACCGGCCCGGAACCCCAGTGCCTCATGCTTCGTGCTAAATGTACAACAGATATATCAAGGAACGGTGTAGATGCGCTCGTTTGGTTTAGTTGCTGGGAACCTTCTTCGCTTCCATGAGACCGGCCTGGGAGCACATTCGAGGTCAGTAAAAGGTGGTTTCCCTCGTCATGGCCGTCGGTCTTGCTGCGGGGAAAGCCTCCCCCGGAGAATGGACATACCAAGTGCAGTAACCTCCAGACACCGTCGCTGGGCTGTGCGCCAACACCCAACCAGTACTTGGCTCGAGACCGATCGAGCGAGATATCCTTGTATGCTTTCGCGGTGCGGGCTTCCTCGTCGGAGAGGCCGGTGGGACGTTGAGGGATGGGGTTGAAAGTGCCAATGACCTCTAGGGGCTTGGAGTCGCGGGCCGAACTAAGCGAGCATTGAGAGTTAGCGCGATGATTCAGTTTCGTCGATGGACTGCTGCTGGGGCAACTTCAGGACTCCTCGGTAGCAGCACATGCGCTTCATTAGAAGGACCCAAAAAAATTTACCTACCGAGCTTGCGCGACCACGATGTTGTAAAAGGGCTGGTGCTTGTTCCCGAAACGGGACAGACGAATACGGACGACCATCTTGGAGGAATTCGGGTTCAATTGGAAGAGAATGAGAGGTCACCGAGCCAGCGCAAAGGGAGATCTCAACTGAACGAGCTGGGAGTAGACCCTCGATCTCCGACTCCGCGGCAGTTTCCAGCCTGTCCGGAGGATCAGTTTGTCCGGATAGAGCGCCCGAATCGGACTAGCGCTGGACGGTGGGGAACATCGATAACAATGATGCAATGCAATGGATGCGAACACTTATCTATCAATCATGGTGCTGTAGCTCTGGTAGCTTTTACAGTTAAATATCATCTCTCCTGATCCTTTTCCAATAGCCCCATTGAGGGATTGTTTACCTCTGTACTCACTAGCTTAGCATTGACACGCTTGTATGCTCCTCTCCTCCATCCTAAGGCGGAAACCTCCTCTCACGGCCAAATTCCGGAAATTTAGTACATCAGCCAAAATGTCATTGAAGGTCAGCCAGCCCACGAACTGCAACCTAGACCACCAGGAGGGAGCTCGGATCCTTAACATCGCGTTGAATATGATAGGCCCTCTCCTCCAAGGATGCCGCCTCCCTGGACAAAGATCTCATGGAGACCGGCGGGTTCTCTCTAGACCAGCTCATGGAGCTCGCGGGGTTATCAGTCTCTCAAGCAGGTGCGCGCGCGCCGAATTCCAGCCATCGTACTACACAGTACTCGACAAGCAATTCATTCCTAACTCAAGAGACACAAAAACAGTATACCGCATCCATCCCCCAAATGCAGGCAAGAACATTCTCGTCATCTGCGGTCCCGGGAATAATGGTGAGCACTCAATTCCTACCTCCTACCACCTTCTCCAACGCCAGCGCCAGCACTAGCGCCATAGCCCATAGCCCATACCCATACCATACCTATCTTATTCCCCATGAAACCCCCCTCATACAACACCATCTAACCACCCCCACCCTCAAAACAGGCGGCGACGGCCTCGTAGCCGCCCGCCACCTCGCGCACTTCGGCTACAACCCAAAAGTCTACTACCCAAAGGAGGGCAAAAACGAGCTCTACCAGGTAAGTCAAACCCTACACCCAACCCAATCCAACCTCCAATTCCTCACTAACCCAACCCACCCCCCTAAGCGCCTCAAAACCCAACTCCGCCACCTCTCCATCCCGATCCTCGCCGACACGCACGACCTCCCAGAAGCCATAAAATCCTCGCACCTGCTGGTGGACGCCATCTTCGGGTTCAGCTTCGGCGGACCGCTGCGCGACCCATTCCCGGAGATCATCAGCCAGATGGAGGCGGCGGCGATCCCCGTGCTGAGCGTGGACGCGCCCAGCTCGTGGGACATCGAGAGCGGACCGCCGCGGGACGGACCGGGGGCGAAGTTCATGCCGGAGGCGTTGATCAGTCTGACGGCGCCGAAGCCGTGCGTGAAGTTCTACCGCGGGAGGCATTTTGTGGGCGGGAGGTTTCTGACCCGGGATATTGCGGAGAAGTATGGGTTGGATGTGCCAGACTATCAGGGGGTGGATCAGGTGTTGGAGGTTGGGGTGGATGCTGAGGGGAGGTTGTAGATTGGGGGGGCGGTGGGTGTGACGATTACAAAGGGGGCTTTGTACAGGACAATGTGAGGGTGTGTGCCCTGGATTTAGGGTCGTGGAATGGACACTTTCACTGCAACCAGGGGGGTTGAGGGTGCTATCTATCTTCTATAGGAAGGGCAGTCGGATCTTATGTATCCCTCCCTCTCTAGTCAGTGGACGTCACGGTTACTTAGTCAATATTTGATTTCATGCAGGTGTGCATCGCTATCGTTAACCAATATGTATAATCCCCATGGATATAAAGTAGTAGGAGCTCTCTATTCAACTTCGAGAGGTATCCTGCAGCCAAGGCTTCACCCTACGACAGCGAGTCCTTGATCTCACCAACGATGCCCTTGGTTCTCGGCTCCTTCCCAAGTCCAGAGCTCAAAATGGTGTTGAGAAGGGCATCCACGTCGTAAACCTCCTTTGCCGCGGCCTTGACCTCTTCACCCAGCGCCTTGACCAGTGTTCCTAATGCGACAAGGCTACGGTAGACTGCCTCGGAGTCCTTCTCACCCTGCAGCATCTGCGTAAGCTCTGCAAGAAGCACCAATCCCTTCTCCGACGACTCGGGAGCCGCTTCGTTGCCTCCAGAGGTCAAGTAGACGGCGACATTGATGTAGAGGGTCGCAACAGCAATCGTCAGGTTTCGATTGGGCGTTGATCCGCTGGCGGACAAAGCAGACTTGATGGCAGGCAAAATGTAATCGAATCGGCTCATGACCAGGTTGCGACCAGCTTCCGTTTCAAACAAATTCGCCAGCATTCTGACCGACAGCATTGCATTGTTCACGTTCAATGGAGAGTTGAAAATTCCACTTGAAAGTAGCCCTGTGATAAGATCCTGCCCATCGTAGTCTGCACTGGCGACCGCAGGAGTGGCCGCGGCGAGCAAGCGGAGGAGATCCAAACCGGGGAGTCTGCTTGAAGTAGGCCACAATGTGGCGACCTTATATAACAAGACAACACCAGTACCTGCAATGGGCGAATCGTTCAAGCTCGAGGATTCTAAATGCGTGCATAGAGAAACTACAGTCTCGAGCTCGGATGGACTTAATGACAGTTCTTTCGATCCTGATGACACAAGTTGCTCGTTCAGCTCTTGCAACTTCTTAGCGATTACCTTGAGGTTGGCGGACTTGATCGATAGATACTGCGTCTGAGGGAGGACCTTGGGGCGGGGCTCCGGGGCCGGCGGAGGCTGGGTAGCTTGCGATTCTTGTCCGTCTCCAGGACGGTAACGTCTTTCTGTTCCCCAAGGGTCAGCGCCAGCGGGGGTTGGGCCTTGGCTAGGTTGGCCAAGGCTGGCACCCTGGCTGTTCTGAACGATAAATTGCGCGACTTGATCAAGGTAGTTCATAGACAATTCGTTGTCCTGAATGAATTTGGTTGCGGCTTCATATGGGTTTTGAGAGACGTTGTATGGTAGTTTGAGAGGAGGCTTGCCGTCCTCCACGTCGACATCGAAGACATAGTCGTAATCCTGACCCAAGTACTCAATCTTCCTTCCACTGCTGGCAGCGGAATCGACGACCGTGCCTACTGCAATCCATTCCCGAGATGCCATCGACCACGTGTGAGCCGTAATGCTACCATCAGTCTCACGAATCATCTGCACCTGACCATCCTTAGTGCCTGATTTCTGTTTGAGAAACTCGGGACCGGGAAGTTGCTCCTTGTTGATTTTGCCGACCTGCTGTTCAGGAATAGCAGACTCCTTGACCGTCTTTTCGAACTGTTGAAGTACTTCAGCACTTGCAACCCGGTCTTCGCTTCTGGTGAAGACGCGAGTCACCCGATCACTGGCGCCTGTGACGATGTCTCCAGTCTCCTGGCAAGCAGCAACACCCCAAACCGAGATCGCGGGATGTGTTATCGTTTGCACGCACTGCATGCCATTCCACACTCTGACCGTCCGGTCTTCACCAGAGCTGACCAACTCGCCAGAAGGCAAGGAAGCCAACGAGTAAATGAAACTTTCGTGACCATGAAGCTCTCCGACAAGTTGTCCTTGTATGGTGTGAAGTCGGATAACTCCATCGTTGCTAGCGGAAGCGAAGTGTGCGCCGGAAGGGTGAGAAGGAGGAAGCTTGCACAACGCTCGAACGACATCTTGAGAGTCCTTGATAGTTTTCAGAAGTTTTCCAGAGGTGTTGAAGATACGAATAATCTTATCCGCGCAGCCTATTGGTATGTTAGTACTGGGATGACGTGATAGCAGAGCGACATGGCACCTACCCGTGATGATTGTGTCCTTATCATAGGCAAGCACCGTCCAAACGCTTCCCTGATGACCGTCCAAGACAAGATCGCATTCCCATTTACCTACTCGCCAGAGTCGGGCTGTGGAGTCCCAGCTGCCACTTACGACCCATCCGCCTTCGTGTGAGACGTCCAGCGCACACACGTTGTGTGCATGGCCTAAGAGCATGGCGTCCGCATTGTCATCAGCGGCTTTGCCGGGTTGCCTCGCCTCAATGATTGTATCTTGTCCGCCAGAGAGGACCAAGCCATCGGGAAAGTCGGGTGTAGGGGGATAATATGCTAGGGCGTTGATGAATGCTGAGCCGTGAGAAGTGATGTTGTAGTCATACGTCGGAGGCGGGGTAGACACTAGTCTCCATAGTCGCACTGTCGCGTCTCGAGATGCTGAGAAGATGGCATTCGGATGAGGAAAGGCCACAGCGCGAACCTATGATACAGCGAAGTAAAAATAGAATTATCAGTTGTCGGGGATCACCAAATGGGGGGGGGTCAAGGTGGAAGTGGGCAAAGTCAGCGTCAACAGCCGGGAGGGGGGCGTTCTTACATCATCGCCGTGGCCCTCCAGAGAAGCGGAGATCTTGAACTCAGGCATACATGAACTGATGAACGAGACAAGGGGAGTAAAGTGGAAGAGCTTGGTGGGGGGATGGCGGGACTGAGGGAGGTGGTTTGAAGGAGAAAGATGACAGCGATAGTAGTGTAAAGATCAACCTCCAGAGCACCCTGGTGGTTCCTGGTTGAAGTAACAGTCAGTAGGCAGTACCTGGGAGCTGTTGCTTAGGGAGGCCATGGTACCTCCGCGGGCCATCACGTGGGCGGTGGCTCAGCGGGCTGGTTGGGCGGGAAGAAGTTGCTAGAATCAGAGCGGTGGTTGATAAGCTAACTAGGAGGAGTCATGGGTGTATATGAGTGAGGGATTGGTAGATAAGTAGGTAAATACATGCAAATATTCAGAGATTCAGAAGACTCCTCATCTGTGACAGCGGCGTGGATCACCGAAGGAATTTACAAGGGAATACTGAGTAGAGTTGGTATGCTGGGTATAGCGCAAGTGCTTAATGCAAGTTAAAGTACCTAATATCATTGTTCAATATATGCTGAGTAGCACCTTTTGATCATGAACTCGAGAGCAAAAGTGTATTGAATGTCCTTTACAAGATGTTCATTCAAGGTAGATATGTTGAGTATACAGGATTCCAGTGGCTGAGATGCATAGATTAGAGTCCCTCACGTGTAGGCAATCTAAGCCGAACTAGGCTTAGCTCGGGAATGGAAGGGGAATTAATTGTAAGGCGATCTGCGAATATCAAAAAAAGAGCACATCATCCCCGCTGATTTGCGTCGCTTTCCTCTCTTCCGACCCCCCTGCTGGGCTCAAATTCCCCTTCGAACTGTGTGTTGTAGAACTGAGCTGGCATTTATCATCTTTTTCAACCTTCTCTGTACAGCCCTGCAGTGTGCGATTGTACAGTTCGACCTCTTCCCCCTCAACTTCTCCAACCCATTCTTAGAGCCTCCCACTCCACCCACCCACTATTTGGGCCAATTGATGACTTGACGAGATCGACGATTTTCCTTTTGTATTTCTACATCCACTCATCTCCCTCATCTTTGGCTTAAAATCCATTATCTCGGTTCTCCGATTGTATCCCTGTTCAAACGGCTTGTACATCTGCTGTTGAAGACAATCACTCATCGCTTGACATTAACGGCCGCCCGCAACTGATCGCGACATCAATTCCCAAAGATCTTGTTATAAGAATCCCCAGATAGAAACGCTCAATATGGCTGCTGGTGAGTCTCGATGTCTTTACCTCTCTCATTGCACTTTTGCTCATGACTAACATCTCATAGATATTCCCAAAGTCGTGCCATTGACATGCCATGGACATTCCCGTCCTGTGCCGCACATCAACTTCTCCTCCACAGTCGAGGATGATCAGTACTACCTCATCTCCGCATGCAAAGGTACGCTACGCTGCGCTGCGCAGTGCCGCGGACACTCCTGGAGGTCGGCAAGCTAATTCATACGCACAGATAATAATCCCATGCTGCGCGATGGTATCACTGGTGACTGGTTCGTTCAACTTCCACATCCAAAACAAAAACCCTAAGCCTCAGGCTAATGACAAACAATTTAGGATTGGAACCTTCCTGGGTCACAAAGGAGCAGTCTGGCAGGCACGTCTCTCCACTGACGCCACCATCGCCGCAACCGCCGCGGCCGACTTCTCCGCGTAGGTTCCCCAACCAGCGCATTCGTCCAAGCCAGCCAGCCAGCTCTGGAACTAACCAACCTTCACCCAACAGCAAAGTATGGGATACTCACACGGGCGAGTGCCTCCACACGCTCCAGCACTCGCACATCTGCCGTGCTGTAGCATTCCCCATGCAGCCATCGCCCCGCGTCCTGGCCACGGGCGGCTACGAGAAGAAGCTGCGGATCTTCGACCTCACGCGCAGCAGTAGCAGCAGCGGCGGTGGTGGCAATGGAGGCGGTAGCAGCAACAGCTCGTCGCCGACGCTCGCCACGGGGCCCGCAACGCCCGCCGAGGGCACGCAGCCATCGGCGGTGACGAGCTACGAGATCGGACCCGGCGTGCACGGCGGCACCATCAAATCCATCGTCTGGAACCATGACTACAACATCCTCACCACGGCGGCGGAGGACCGCAAGATCCGGTGGTGGGACCTCCGCTCCCGCCACCCGGTGGTCGAGTACACGGTCGACGGGCCCATCGGCAGCTGCGAGCTCAACACCCTGGCCGTGCGGCCCAACGACGCGGGCATCCTGACCGTCGCCGCCGGCAAGTCGGTCTACCTCTTTGACGGCCTCAACCCCGGCCGCCTCCTCAAGAAGATGGACTTCCGATACGAGGTCGCCAGCGCGGCGGTCAACAACGAAACCAGTCGCCTGGTCACCGGCAGTGCCGATGATACCTGGGCTCGGGTGTATGACCTGCTCACCGGGGAAGAACTCGGTACGTGCCTTTACCCTGGTCCCTCCTTCTCTCAATTCCCTTCAGCCCCCCTCAAACATGAAAAGAAGTCCAGTGCTAACACCCCATCCAGAAGTCCAAAAAGGCCACCACGGCCCCATCTGGTCCGTAAGCTTCTCCCCCGACGGCAAACTCTACGGCACCGGAAGCGAAGATGGAACCATCAAACTCTGGAAAGCATGCAGGGAACCCTACGGTCTTTGGCGGTGATGACCCCTCGCCTCCCCCCACCCCCCCAATAAATCTAGTCCTGGCAGTGTGTCTAGTGTTTCTAGTCCTAGTTCTATTTTCCTAGTCCTAGCCTGTTACCTAGACGGCGGTTTTTCTTGCAAACCAGACCACCGAGAAAAAGTTGGTATGCTAGCAAGCAAGCAGACAAGGGGGCGTGATGCTGGTAACAAACATGATTCGTCATCATCATCATCATCATCATCATCATCATCAACAACAACGGGATGCAGCATCATGATCAAGGACTTTCTCGTCTAGCCCGACCACGGTCAAGGGTGATTGGGCAATTGGGGAAGAGAAGAGGAAGATATTTCCTTACCTTATCTTCACCGACAACACACGCACACACATACACAAAGAGACAAACAGCACAGCTTTTAAAAGGAAAGAAGCTTTCCTGAGAGGTGGAGGGGTTTGTCCACATATCATTAGTTGTCTTGTCTTGTCTTGTCTAGAACTATTATATCCTAGTTGCGGCTCTCACTGGAATAACATGGATCTACCTGTCTGACTACTTCTGGGTAAAGTAGCTTTGCGTCAACTGCATCACGGAGTAGGAGTTCAATCTTTCTAGTTGACAGTTCGGTTTCTTGGAATCGTGTCCAGTTAAAAACAACACCAAGATCCTTTCTTTCAATTTAATTACACAAAAACAGCGGGATCGTCACTCAACGCCTTTCCCTTGCACAACCGAAACCACCCTGTAAGTCGCAAATTTGTTTTTCCAAAGTTGACGCTTTACTCAATCATGTCAATATCATCGTCTCCAGCTGCCGCCACAGATGCAGGAGCAATCTGCTGCGGCTCATCCGGAACCGTATGGTTGTCGGCCGCACCAGCACCGGCACTCGCCGCCCCGCCCCAGTAGTCGTCCATCTCGGCGTCCAGCTCCTCCTGGGTCTTGCGGGGTCGACCGTTGACCGTGCGACGGCCCTCCCCGCCACGGGTATCGCGCTCGCCCTGCTGACGTCTACCGCCACCACCACTGCCACCGTTGGCGGGTCTGCGGGCGGGAGATCTTTGGCCAGGAACGTATCTGTCGATGTGCTCGGGAGGCGGCTTAGTGACGTCGCTGCGGCGGTAACCACCACCACCGGCACCACCAGCGCCACGACGACCGCGACGACGCCGGGAGTTTCCGTCGGGGCTACCGCTTCTGCTGCCGGGGCTCAGACTGCGAGCGTTGCGATCGCGGGGGCGCTCCACACGGTCGAATAGACTACCCTTGGGACGTTCCACGTTGTCGAAAGGGTTGCGGTCCCGTCTTCCGCCGCTGCTGCCACCACTGCCGATGAGTGTCAACCGGATGGGCTGACCCTTAGCGTTGGCGCCGTCAAATTCGCTAATGGCTGTGCGCGCGTCGCTGACACGGTTGTAGGTTACAAAGGCAAGGCCCTCGGAGCGGCCGGCCCGGTCGTAGACGAGGGAGACATTGTTGATGGGTCCGATGCGGGTGAAAAGATCCTTTCAAGGAGAGAAAAGAGCTCGAGTTAGACATGCACAGACACGGACGAAACAAGGGCTGCAAAGGCATCTTACCTCCAGATCACTCTCGGTGATATCGTAGTGGATATTCTCGACACGAAGCTTGGCTCCGGTAGATGCGCTATCGTAGAAGGTCAACCGGAGCGTATGCTATAGCGATCATGTGGAACATACTGTTCGTGCTCGGGCGAGTAGCGGTCACCGCGCGGGCGTCGAGAGGCACGGGACGGGCGGGCTGAAGGATTTGAGTTAAGAATTGTTTTCGACCATGTGACACTAGCACGTCGTGTCGATTGCTGAGGTAGTTTAAGGAGGAAGAGGAGGAGGGTTAAGGACTGGTCGAGGGTCAAAACGCACCATCTCTGTCGTCTTCGTATTTGTCATGAACCCAATCGCTACAGGCGTGAAGACAAACAGGTTAGCAAACACGTCACCCTGGTGAGTTGATGCTGGCCGTCGCAGCCAGGGGAAGGGGTGCAGTTACAGATCCAAGTCGGGGCGGTCTTCTCTGTAAGACTGTTGTGGTCGAAATAGAGAGACAAGGTCAGCTCGAAAGTCACAGTATATACTCGTGTAAACACAGCTCCGTCATCTTTGTTTTTTCTGGAGCGATGCATGGCCGTGTGTCTATGCGAGACGGTGCTACGAGGCCAGCGGATATTGCTTATCATGATGCGCGAGTAAAGTTCGGAAGGAGACAAGGAGGAAGGACCTGTTCAAGCATGTCGTTAGGAAAGGGTCCGGATTACGAGGCGTGGCCGGAGAGCCATGAAGCAACACAATCATACCTTTCTTACGCCATCACGGCGACGGCCTTGAGAAGGACGGCCTTGAGGAGCACGGCGACCACGATCCTGAGGTTGCTGTTTTTGCTATAGATTGGGCAATCTACCGTTAGCAGAGTGTCAAGACGAAGGGAACAGTGCTCCAGGCCAGAGTCCGTATGGTAGTCAAGTTGATTCCGGGGAACTTACAGGGCGCTCGGCGATGATCTCGTCGAGACTACGATCCATTTTGAAAGCTGTCGGAGACAATAGGGTCTTTTGCGAAAGGTGACGAATAGACGGATGGTTTGCAGGGAATAACAGCGCCTGCACTGCGGAACGATTGAGGATCCAAGTCAATGGAGGATGAATAAGAGAACTTAGGAAGGCGAAGAAGGGTCGGCGGAAGCTTGCAGCCCGGGATTGGATCCAGGCCGGACGTTTGTCCACACTGGACTCCACACCGCCCGGACCAGAACCCCCCCCTGTGCGTGCACGTGATATCCCATCTGGCATGGAGTAGCCAAGTATGGAGTGCAAGATTGCAACAATTACACTCTATTCACGTTCTTAAGAAACACTACTTCTACCCACACAGGGCAAGAATTGTACATATCTGGAATGACAATGAACCTTGAAGAGGACCCTCCTTTTTGTGCTCCAGATAACACCAATCGCAACTTTAACAGCAATGCCCGGCAGATGATATGGATATGGAAAAAGGAAAGCGAAACAGAAGAACACCGGGTGTGCAATGCAGCCAATCATGCAATAAAAAAAGAAGAGGGGGGATGATGGAAGAATGATGAAGTAGTCATTAGCTTTCACCATTGGCAGGTGCGTTCGACTGGGTCTCATTGTACTCCATCATCTTGCCCATGAAGCTGATGTAGTCATACTTGGGGAGATCGCGATCCTCCTGCAAGTCGGGCCCTTGGTGTGGTGGCATTGTCTGTACAAGGTGGTCGATGACCTCGTCCGGGATAAGGGAGTGTCGTAAATCAATTTCGGTCACGTATGGCTGCGGATCGTTAGTCTCAACTCAACCATAGTAGGAGAGTAATCACAAAGGGAAATAAGTAGTACATACCTTGCCATCTGCAACTTCTCGGAAACTCTGCAAGACCTGCTCGGCGGAATTCTGGTCTTCCACCACGCTAACCATGAAATGAATGAACTGCTCGAAGCTGACACCGGCATTTTGAGCCAACCGAGCTGGGCCACATGTCTCAAGGTAAACCTGATGCATCTCCTCCTCGTCATAGACAAGTCCCAGACTTGCAAGTGCAGCGGAGAATTCGAGCTCAAGAAGTGTATTTGATGAGTCGCGATCGAAATGTCTGAAGACCGACTCGAACTCCTCCAACTGGATGGGGGTCAAGTTGGTCATGTTGCGGGCGACAAGTTGGTTGTCGAGGAAAGCCAGCTTCTTAGAGATGCTCGATTTGACCAGACTCAACTCGTAGGAGAGTTCATCTAGGGTGTATGTCGTCCAATCATTTTCTTCGATGTTAGCTTCCGCGCACTGCTCGTCCAAAGCCGCGATAGTATCTAGGAATGCGTCGAGGGGAGGCAAGTTATCATTGAGTCTTTTGACATGGGCTAGTTGGTCTTCTACATCGCCATCGAGACCAGAAATAGCCAGAGACAGCGTCTTAAGTGTCAATGCGAAGTCGTTTGCCTTGTCCGCGAACGAACGACGGAGCGCATTCTTGATATCTCGGATCGTTTCGTTGATGAGTTGACTACGCTCGTGCTCGTCGCGGGTCAAGCCCTCCCATTGCTCATCGCAAACCTCCAGACTAAGCTCCGCTGGAGGTTCGTATGGTTTGAGACGATAAGTGCTGAGTTTAGTCTTGATGTTTCCCAAAAGAGCAGCAAGATCCGACTTTTCGGCCACCCACTGGCGCTTTTGGTTTCTCTTGTACAGCGAGAATTGGTGGGCCTGCTCTTTTGCATCCTTGTAGGTACCCTCGAAGGACGCTGTCTTCCACGCTTCGCGTTGCGCGGCAATCAACCGCAGCAGCTCCTTCATCCTCCGCTCGTAAGAGTTCTGCATCTCCCAGGCACCATGCATGTTGTTGATGAACTTCTCGACCCGACGCCCCGCATTCTCAACCCGTTCCAATTGCGAAAAGGCGTGGAACCAGTAGGCGATATACGTCATGAGCGATTTTTCGTCCGGTTTCGCAACATCGCAAACGTCGTCAACATCAAGCAGATCAGGGATCCCGATTTCGTTCGAAGCAATGTCAAAGGCGAGCTTCATGTTTCCGCGGTGGTCCTTTTTATCCAGGGCATCGAAATCGATCAGATCCGGGCGGTGGATATCCAGAAGCGCACAAAAGGCCAACCCATCGTTCCAACTGGTAGAGAAATCCCGGACCTGTACACCTTCGTAGCAAGCGGTCTTGCGTTGACACCACAGTAGGAGACCCGCCTTTGCGGTCATACCCTCCGCATTGATGTCACTGATAGTGAATCGAAGAATCAAAGTCCAGATCAGACCCAGCACGATCTTTCTATTGCCGTCCACAACATCTTCGGCACCGATATTGGTCATCTGGATCCTCCGCCCTTTGATGAAGTCAAGACTCTTGTTGACATTTTCGAATTTCTGGACGCGGAGTTTGGGCTTCGAAGCGTAGCGGCCGAGCGATTCTCCGCCGAGAATTTCGAGTAGATGGATGAGGATGACCTATAGAGATTCCACAAGAAACGGTGTCAACAATATAATTCTCCTCTGGATTTCCCGGTTGTGCTGGTTTCGGGGGGGGGGAGGCTCTCCGCGTGGCATCGGAATAGGTATAGATAGGTAGACTCACGCCATCGGAAAGGTCGACGACTAAATCATCGATAAAGATTCTGCGGACCTTCAACTTGTCGTTGAGCCTAGTAAAAGGTTTGGTGTCAGTTCATGCGACTTTGGTGGGCTGGGTAGAGTGCAAGTGAACAAAGAAACCCAGTCAGTCGAGATAGATAGCAGTGCCCGATCTGCAGTTGGAGGGGTATCTTCCAGACATGCTATGCCACCCCAACTGCTTTGAGCGGGGGATCAACACACCATTTTGTGAAGGTCTTCTGCTGTACGTTAATCCAGTGCTTCTCAACCGCCAACATGGTGAATGCTGTAGAGAGAAGTAATCATCCAGGGCGTGGGCGGAGAAGGGCGGTTTTTTTGCAGATGGGAAGCACGGACTGAGCGAGCGGCGGCGGCTGTTGCTTTCTGTTGCCGGACGGAGACTCGGGCAGATGGGGCGTTTCTGACAATGCAAGTGACTTGTATGGAAGAGGCAAGGCAGGATCTTCAGGCCCGCGGCACTGAGAGATTAAAAGTGTGCGTTACACGCACGATTCGTCGGTAATTGGTGTGTGGTTGGGATGCAGGAGGTTTAGAGAGTAAGAGTAAAAGAATCAGGCAGCCCGTTTGGATTGAGAAAAACAAAGCAAAGAGAGAAAGATAGGATGTTAGGTACAAGCAGTACGGATGGAGTTACAGCTCCGAGTACTCGGAAGCAGATAAAGGGGCTGACTGGCAGGTGTTGCTCTGGTGGCATTCAATGTCAACCTTCCACTTCTCTCTTTGCGCCCCCCTCTCTCTTTCTCCCCTCTTCTTTCCACCCCACAGCAACCAGTGGTTTGAAAAGTAACCTGGAACCAGTCGGCTGCTACCGGTCGAACCAGACATTCTACGGAGTACTGTACCGTACATGATTTTGAGTGTATTACAGCCAGGCCAGGTAGCATCAGGCAGATTCAGGGATGAGATACTAAAGCCTACATAGATAGGTACGTACACTGGACAATCTTGAACATCTACTGGGCAAATGCTCATGACTCGCCATTGACAGCTCTTAATCAACAATTCTGGTTGGTTGCCGACATTCTTCATGTTTCTGTTTTTAGTATCACAACACTTTGCGGCGCCAGATCTACCGACTCGCTGTGCCATCTAATTCCTCTAAATTGCCCAACAAATAGGTTGCTTATGCCCAAATCAGGAGAGAGTAATACCACATAATGATCTCTGGATTTACTCTCCATACGTTCGCTCATCCAGAATACTCACATACTCCTACATTCGCAACATCGGGTTTCTGGCAATGGCTTTCTCCGAAACGCTGATCGGAATCTTCGCTCTTGCCGACCCACCCACAGTCAACGACTTGTTCCACTCAAGAGGGCTGGATGCTGCAGCCTGATCTTCTTTGAGCTGTCCTGGGATGTTTATTTTCCATTGCTAGTGCATGCCTTATGGGTTTCAGAGGGCACGGCAATGTAGATCACCCTTAAGGCATTGTCTACCTGCACCTGATCATATACTCGAAGTTACTACATGGAAGGTGCGTCGGTTCAGAGACAGCTACATTCTTTGCGAATTATGTTAGTCTTTAGCCGTCGATGAGTGTAGAGTTAGCAAAGTCTTCTAAGAATATTGTTTCTGCTCCGCATGGACTCCCGTGCCATCCGTACTCATATAAAAGTCGCCCACTATAGCCCACTACGCCCTGCCATGATTCATGGGCTCTCCTCAACTGGGATTCCGATTTGACTGTCCCAAAATATTGTCTGGGTATCGCATTCGCACGACAGGCAAGGTACTGTACCTCAGAAATTACTCTCCTTGGTTCCAGATATTCTGTGACTAACTCTGAGAGAGGGATAGGGATTAGGGAGAGCCGAAAAGTCGATGTATCACATAAGTCCTAAGCAAGTCTGTCTCAGTCAAGGGTCCCGTTAATCGTAGATAACCTATGGAGTACTCTTTCTGAGATGTAGCATGCCATTGAGGACCTCGGAAAATCAATGCACCACTCGAATGATGAAGCGAAGGGAGTGGACGGGTCGGTTGGAAGATAAGTTAGTGTAGATGATACCATCGCAGAAACGGGGCTAGCGCCCGCCCGGCGTGATGATATCATCCGGGTCGAATGGGACCTGCGGCGGAAAACACTCACTCGCCGCCATACAGCTCTTTCTTTCTCTTCCATCTCATTCTCTCCCGCCCCTTTTGGACGCTTATCTGATTCATAATCAACCAAGATCATAAAAACTTATAGCAATCACATTTCTCTTGGATTGCTCATCTTTGTTACTAGCAATACCTCGAAGCAAACCGCAACAATGTCACCCAAATACACCATCACTGAACTCCTGCCCCTCCCAAACTCCTCCGTCCAGATACCCCGCCTCGGCTTCGGAGTCTACCGTTCCCACGCCGACAAATGCGTCACCTCCACCGCCCACGCCCTGAAAACCGGGTACCGCCACATTGACACCGCGCAATTCTACGGAAACGAGAAGGAGGTCGGCGACGCTCTGCGCGCGTCGGGCCTGGCCCGCAGCGACGTGTTCGTCACCACAAAGATCCTCAGCCCCGCCGGGTCGCCCGAGGCCACCTACGAGAAACTGGTGGCCAGCGTGGAGAAGATCGGAGGCCAGGATGGATACGTGGATCTGTTCCTGATTCACAGCTCCAAGTCCGGGTCGGCCGGCCGGAAGGAGTTGTGGCAGGCCCTGGAACGGCTGCTGGAGGAGGGCAAGACCAAGGCCATCGGCGTCAGCAATTTCGGCGTGAAGCACATCGAGGAGCTGAAGTCCTTTGCCAAAGTTTGGCCGCCGCACGTCAACCAGATCGAGGTGAGTCGCGACTCCTGGGATGTAGTGCATGTAGTACTTTGACGGTAAAAAGGCACTCTTTACTGACTCGAGACATTCCCTTACAGCTCCACCCCTGGTGTCAACAGCGCGAGATTGATGCCTACTGCAAGAAGAACGGTATCATCGTCGAATCCTATTGCCCGATTGTGCGCAACTATAAGGCCAACGATCCCACGTTAGTCGAGCTAGCTCAGAAGTACAACAAGTCCACCCAGCAGGTGTTGATCCGCTATGCACTGCAGAAGGAATGGGTTCCTCTGCCCAAGTCAGAGACCCCCGAACGCATTGCTTCTAACGCCGATGTGTTCGATTTCGAGATCAGCAAGGAGGATATGAACGTCCTGGATGGTCTCGACCAGGGCAGCGGCGGTGCCATCGTGGAGGCCGTGGAGAACGAGTAGATCTGCAGTACATATAATGAATACCCGTGCCTAGGATTAGAGACCCTCTGCAAGATAATAACTTTTACGATTTGTTACTGATGTTACTCATGATCTCCCACCTGCACGATGAAAGCTTTCAATCGATCGAGAAGTAGGCTGCGCAGGATGCATCATGCGGAGTCGCACGGGCGTCGATTTCAATAGAGGTCACAAAAACTGACAGTCGTATGCTGATCGGCCCCGAGACTTAAGGCTGCTGATCTGTGGCGCGGAAAGACACGTCCACCGGACCAGGGTAGCAAGCGGAGGTCATGCCTCGAGAGCGGATTCAGATTGGCTCTGGGGGCAGCAGTCGGATTCTCAAGAGAGGGGGCTCAGAGAGAGAATGACTGGTGAAACAGGTTTCCAGCCTGGTTCGGCGAAAGGGAAGCATCCGCCAGTCTTCAACATGATGGTGACAACTGAATGAGGGGCTGTCATGCAAGCAAGGCTACTAGGATCGCTGCATCTGCACCCCAAACAGGCCACTGAGCAGTCGGCACGAAGGGCCCCAAACTCTAAACCGGACACGCGCGTGGGGTACCTAGTAGGGAGTGAGCATTTACTTAGCCTATTTGTACTGGACTGTACATGCACCTATGCGCAGCATTGTTTGTGGCTATCCCGTCGCCACCAGGGATGTTCGGTTGCTGCTCAAAGCATCGGAGAAGGACGGCAACATGAGACAAACCAACGTGGACACTGCAATTGGCGGCGGTTAGCACGAATCTGAATGCAGTGTACCTCGGATGATACCATGGCTCAGCACAACAGGAGTCATAGTATAACATGAGCTGATACTTGTAAGTCTGTGCTTGGCAAGCAATGAGGGATTCTCGTCCATGCACATAGAATGGCTGAGTGCTAGAAAATGGAATACTGTACTCCGAGTTTTCGGTTTGATCTGAATGGTCTCCTAGTGGGTGTGTTTGTCCGGCTTAGCACCGTTTGCATGAGAGCACCGGGTGACTTGTAGGCCAAACGGCATGATGCGCGGGCTCTGCGCGATTTCGATTGTAAACGAGCAGCAAATAGTAGTCATCCAGTCCGGGTGTGTCGAGAGAGGGTCCAAGGAGGGGCTCTGTTTACAATTGTTATCGTTTTTGTGTACATCATGGATGATAGAATGTGATGGTTGTACTGGAGTGTTTCTGTGGCTTTCCATCCGGGGCTGGGACTATTCCTTTCCTGACTATTCCTGGACGGGCTAAGCGGAGGGGCATCCGAGCGTTACCCAAACCAGGCTAGAGGCCATGATGGCTATGATCTCACTCCCCGCTTCAGGCCGGCTTTCCGCCATGGCAATTGTCATTCACCCAGAAGAAAAACATTGGTGTGCCTTGAAACAGTACGACGTAGTGGGGGAAAGACTGGTAAACATTGAAGACTCACCCGCTTACGATGTACTGTACTTCCCCCCCCCTTATTTAAACAATGTAGATGCCCCTTGTGTTGTTTGTTCTTAGCTTTTGTTTTCAAGTAGTCAGCCACCTCTCTAGACAGTCACCCCGCCTTTTCACCTCTCCCTCCATTCCATCTTCATCCTCCACTCTTTGAGCTTCATAGAAGACTTTACATACTTCTACATCGACCCCACTGCTCATCATGCCTCAGGTACGTGCTATCCCACTGCCATGGAAAGTTGTCGCGCTAGTTCCTTCGCTGATCACCTCGCCCTGCATGCAGATCACCGAAATCTTCTTCGATTGCGACAACACCCTCGTCCTCTCGGAGGAATTGGCCTTTGAAGCCTGCGCCGACCTCGCCAATGAGATCCTGGAGAAGCACGAAATTCCGGACCGGTACACCGGTGACCAGCTCATCCAGGACTTCGTCGGCCAGAACTTCCGCGGCATGATGGTCTCCCTGCAGGCTAAGTACAAGTTCGAGATGACCAAGGAGGAGCTGGAGGGTTACGTTAAGGAGGAGGAGGACCGCGTGATCGCCAAGCTGGAGGCCAAGGCCCAGCCCTGCGTCGGGGTCATGCCAGAGCTGGAGAAGCTGTACGAGTCCAAGAAGTACGGTCTCGCCGTGGTGTCGTCGTCCGCGCTGCGTCGTGTCAAGGCCTCCATCAAGAAGGTCGGACAGGAGAAGTTCTTCGAGGAGGATGCGGTGTACAGCGCGGCCACTTCTCTCCCCACCCCGACCTCCAAGCCCGATCCTGCTATCTATCTGCACGCCCTCAAGGAGCGCAACAAGAAGCCCGAGGAGGTCGTCGCCATTGAGGACAGCAAGTCGGGCTCCCTGAGCGCCATCCGCGCCGGCATCCCAGTCATTGGCTATGTTGGCAGCTACAACGGTGATGCGAAGCAGCAGGAGATGGCCAAGGTTCTCACTGACCTGGGTGTCAAGGTGATCATGAAGGATTGGAGTGAATTCGAGGACTGCCTGGCTCAGATTGAGCGTGCCTAGACGAATCGCTGTTGCGACTTACTTAGTTTCCAGTATTTTCCTGGGTCTTGACATGATGTTATGATAGCGAAAGCATTGTATTTTCATATTCCCCCTTTACGAATTTAATCATGCTTTCTCCAATTTCTTGTCGATAAGAGGCTTGTCGCAGCAAATGAGGTGTTTGTTCTCTGTCTTGTGGACGGTGATTGTCGGTTTTCGTGCCACAGCATGTTTCCTCAGTTATACAGAGGCTCTATAGACTTGAGCCCATCGGTAATACACATGATAGTTCCAGACACGCAGTGTTCTTGCAGTTCTTCGACTCGAGCCGCCTCTGAGTTACCGCCGTCTCCCTCCTCTATCTACTCACGCTTCTTCCATTTAACACATATATCCTGGCCTCCAATTAAATTAAAAAACAAAAAACAAAAATGTTATACAATCCTCACAAACTTGGTTCAAGCTGCTATATAGGCCCATCAGTCACACAGCCATGGCTCGCATCACTAACAAGTTTGGCATATTTAGCCAAGGTGCCTTTCACTGCTCTTGGTTTCGGCGCCTTCCACTCCTTCCTCCTCCGCTCCAACTCCTCCGATGAGATCTCCAGGTCAACCACTCTCTTCTCCGCATCGATCACAATACGATCCCCGTCTTCGACAAGCGCAATCGGACCCCCTTCCATCGCTTCTGGCACAACATGCCCGATCAGAAACCCGTGACTTCCGCCCGAAAACCTTCCATCAGTGAGTAAGGCAACATCTTGACCCAAGCCTGCGCCCATGATAGCAGAGCTAGGCTTGAGCATCTCTGGCATGCCAGGCCCGCCCTTGGGCCCCTCATATCGAATGATGACCACGGTCTTCTCACCCTTCTTGATCTCTCCACGCTCCAATGCCTCGATGAACGCATCTTCATAGTCAAAACACCTGGCCGCACCCTCAAACTGCAGTCCTTCTTTGCCGGTAATCTTGCCCACCGACCCGCCGGGTGCGAGCGATCCTCGCAGGATTTGCAGATGGCCTGTAGGCTTGATGGGATTGCCGAGCGGACGAATTATCGGTTGATCAGGCGGGAAATCCGGCCAGGAGTTGACATTCTCGCGCATCGTCTTGCCTGTCACTGTGATCCCCTCGCCGACAATAAGCCCTTCCTTCAGCAAGAACTTGAGCAGGGCCGGCGTGCCACCGATCTTGTACAAGTCGTGCATCACATATTGCCCCGAAGGTTTCAAGTCGGCCAGGAAGGGCGTCTTGTCCGATACGGCTTGGAAGTCGTCGATGGTTAGCTTGATGCCGACGGCATCCGCCATTGCGATAAGATGCAGGACAGCATTCGTGCTCCCGCCGAGGATATTCACTACGATCATGGCATTCTCAAAGGCCTGTCGCGTCATGATCTCCCTGGGCCGGATGTCTTCCTTGAGCAGGTTCCGGATCGTCTCGCCCACCCCTTCACACTCCGCCCGCTTCCGGGGATCTTCCGCCGGCGTGCTACTACTGCCCGGCACCGTCATCCCCAGCGTCTCGATCGCCGTGGCCAGCGTATTCGCCGTGTACATGCCCCCGCAAGCCCCGACTCCGGGACACGCGTTCCGAATGATGTCCATCCGTTGCGCCTCATCGATCTGCCCCGTGATGTATTGCCCGTAGGATTGAAACGCACTGACTAAATCGAGCTTCTGGCCTCCCGCGCTGCAGCCGGGCTTGATGCTTCCGCCAAACACCATCAAACTGGGCCGGTTGACCCGGCCCATGGCCATGAGCACGCCCGGCATGTTCTTGTCGCACCCCGGCAGCGAGATGTTGGCGTCGTACCACTGCGCGTGCATCACCGTTTCGAATCCGTCCGCGATGATCTCCCGGCTCTGCAGGCTGTACCGCATCCCCGCGGTGCCCATGCTGATGCCATCCGAGGCGCCGATGGAGTTGAACCGCATGGGGACCAGGTTGGCGCGCGCGACGGAGTCCCGCACGAGCTCGGACAGCGAGAGGAGGTGCATGTTGCACGGATTGCCTTCGAACCACACGGACGAGATGCCCACCTGTGGCTTGTGCATGTCATCTGCTGTGAGGCCGGTCGCGTAGAGCATGGCCTGGGAGGCGCCTTGGGATTTCGGCTGGGTGATCTTCGAAGATTCGCGGTTTAGGTTAAGGTTGTCATGGTGGTAAGTTCGTGAGGATGAGAAGGCACATCGTCTGGCAGAGACCAAATGAATTGTCAGCTCATGTACGGGTTAGGAAGTAGTAAAGGGGTGAGACAGACGAGTGTATGTGCCTCGAGCGTGTTGAAGAAGGCATACACGGCCCGTAAGCCGTCGCTGTGCCGCGGCCGACTCTGAAAATAGCGATCGTCATGCTGAGCTTGCAAGCCGTGTTGATTTAGATGCGATGCTAGATCCCTCAGCCGCCAACGACATCATGAACCCATTCAGGCTTTTATACTTTCCCATCCTACTACAGGGATCTATACTCCCACGAAAAGCAATCTCGGCCTTTGAAGCGATATACTCCAGTCCTCTCGGACTGTTGTCCGAATGTCATGATTGCAATAGTGGGTACGTAGTACTGTAGTACAATGGATCCCAGGCTCAGCTTGCACCCTGATTAGGAGGACAAATTATGGGACAGCTCCGTTCGGACAAAAGTCCAATCCAATCAGCATTCTATCATTACGACCTAAAGCACTTTCTGTTGTTCTTGGATAAATGTCCATGTTCTAGAAGCAGAGTCTCGGACTTGTTTCCGAGCCCCTTAACTGGCTTGGTTCACGGTGGGATATTGCAGTCAGGAGTGCGGTATTGGATGAATGAACTATAGGATACTAGGAAATAAGCATTCAGGTGTCGAAAGGGATCCACTCGGTCCGGAGTTAGGTCGTTGGTCCCCGGGTGGTGTATGTTTTGAGTAAGCACTGCGTGCAATGCGTAATAAACGATTCACTAACTGCTGCACAATTACAATAATGCAGGCACTCTTGATGTTTTGTAGGCTGTGTATATAAGGAGAATCGCAAATAGTAGATATAATTCTAGCTACAGATCTGGAACTATGACCCCCCGAACCCTGCGCGCACATATTGTATGAGTACCCCTGGGGCTAAACTTCTACTTTGAGCCCTTTCTACCTTGCAGTCTACAAGCTTTAAAGTCTAGAATAAGGGTTCCCTCTTCTCGGGTCTATCGACAGTACAAGGCCACGCATGATATGAATTTAAATCTTCTGCCACAGGTTCAAGCGACGTGTGAGGGAAAAGAGTAAGATGAATGCTTTGCTTGCTCCTATGCACTCTCCAACAACCTTTCATATAGGTCTCTGGAGGGTATTGTAGACCGACCCCATGCGGATCTCCCGCTGACCCCACACGCAGGCTCTCTCTCATCCACGCCGGCTACTTAGCCAGCTGGGGGTTTGGTGGCCAGGGGCCAGTACTTGGATTACTGTGCCCACCGAGATGGTAGGAAAGGGATTGAAGGCTATTGAGCGAGGTTTCAAGTTCGTTGTAGTACTCCAAGGTGATCTTAGGCGTGGTCCAAGTATATTTGAGGTGCGCTGGCTTGAGGCAATTCTCTCGTCTAAGGGTAAGCATTGCTCATGATGGGGTAAAGACATGATCAGTGCGAGGCTTGAATTGGCGATGACATGTTTTGGACTCGATTCCCCAGTTGCATCTATTGTTTTGTCTCGCAAGTACTGAACTTTACAGTATAAAAGAGATGAAGAGATAAGACAAGGGTTAGCCCTGGCTGCCGGGATAGGCAAGTGCCCCTCTTTCCAGTCCAGTTGCCGGGCCGAGCTGCCCCTCCAGTATCGACGTCAGCCAGCCTGAACAACACTTATCTCCGTTCGGTAGACATAGATCAGTCATTGCTGTGTTTCAATCTCAATTGCATCCTCGTACCCAAACAGTAATCGCATTTTTCACATCAATTGATTGACACCATGTTCAAGAGCGCGCAATCGAAGATCATCTCCAGAGGTCCATTGGTAAGCTCAACAAACCAACCCCCTCCTCTCTCTCCGCCTCCCCCTTCCCCAGCAACAAAGCCCAGACAACTCAGCTCCCGGTGACACAAACACACTCACCATGTCTCAATCCCTCTCGATCGAGCCCGCCCAGCCTCTCCCACTAAAAATAGCATCACCTCTAGGACCCCTCAGAAGCCAAATGGGCCCGCCTGGTCAAAACAACCTACTCCGACCCCAACGGCGTCGAGCGCACCTGGGAATCTTCCGAAAGAACGGTGAGTTCCTGCTCCTCTCCCAAAAGAGAATTCCTGTCCAACTATGACAGAAAACAAAGCACCTCGCTGACGGTGCGGTGGTTCCAGACTCGCCCGGAGACCTGTGAGATTGATGGCGTTGGAATCGTGACCATCCTCAACAAGGAGACCGGCCCAGAGCTGCTCCTGCAGAAGCAATACCGGCCCCCAATTGACAAAGTCGTCATTGAGGTTCCAGCCGGGTTGATCGATGCAGGTGAGACGGTGGAGGAGTGCGCCGTGCGGGAACTCAGGGAGGAGACTGGGTATGTGGGCGTGGCGGAGCAAACGAGCAGTGTCATGTTTAATGGTGAGTCTTCGCTTTTTCTCTTCTGCGGGCGGCTTCATTCGGGCACTGGGAAAGAGGAATGCGACTGCGCTTTCGCAAGGGTGGTGGCTGATGCTGAACATTTCTCTCTCTTTGAAAACTAGATCCTGGGTTCTGCAACACTAACCTGAACATGGTCCATGTCCGGGTGGATATGTCCCTGCCTGAGAATCAGAACCCCAAGCCGGAGCTGGAGGATAATGAGTTCATCGAGTGCTTCACGGTGCCCCTGTCGACGCTGTTTGAGGAGCTGAAGAGGCTCGAGCACGAGGGTTACGCTATTGATGCCCGGGTGGGTACGATAGCGGAGGGGATCGAGCTTGCGAAAAGGTTTAAGCTTTGAGGTAGTTGTTGTAAGAACAAGGCTTCGGATTACAGATGGTCTACGCCCCGACGTTACGAAGCCCTCGAGGGCGCATCAACGCGATGGCGGCCCCCCTTTAAGCACGGAGAGAGGCATCAGCTGCCGTGGTTCTAGACTCTAGAGTTTCCCCTCCTCTTTGAGTCCCCTGTACAGCGCCCATGCGGCAAGGGTCTTCCCATCGCGCACACCTTCCTTCCATAGATCCTTTAATGGCACCACTTTCAGTGTAATCTTCTCTCCGTGCTGCCGTAATCCGGTCAGCCTACCCTGCAGGCTATCGATCTCCTTACGCGGCATGCGCTTCTGGCACAGAAACAAAGGGATGAACTCGTCGCTGCCGCCCGCCGAAGGATACACGGCCTTCTGCAGCGACTCCTCCTCTTCGCCTTCGGCGCCCGGCTCTAAGGCCAAAGCCGTCAGATCGATGAGCTCCTCTTGCGGGATGGTCAGCCCTGTCTCTTCCTGGATCTCTTTCGCCGCGCCTCCCGCAAAAGACCCACTGTCATCCAACATGCCGGCGGGTATCTCCGTGAAAGCCAGGGATCCGGCTGGGATTCGAGGCTGGATGGTCAAGATGACGCGTTTTTCTTCTTCATTGGATGGAGGGACATCGTCGGGTTGGAGGATGAGCTATGGGTTTTGGAGGTATCGAGGATTAGTTCCCTGATTTCCAGATGCGGCATATGGTAGCAGAAGAAAAGCAAACATACCAGCATCCCCACACTGCCCCCGCGTAGGAAGACGCTCCCCGGAAGTGTCTCGCCGCTCCCATTCGAGACCTCTGCCTTCAGCTTCACGAAGCCCAACCGCCCACCTCCAAAATAGTCGACTGCCTGGATCCTGATTCCGCGCAGGACGTAGGAATCTCGCGAGAACTCGTGGGAGGGCTGTTGTTGCCGGCCCAACGACCGCTGCAGGGTGCTGAGCCAGATGCGAAAGGCGGGGAAGCGCAGGAGCGCATCGCGGCTCAGGTCTGCTATCGACGAGACGGGGACGGTTTCGGAGGAGGACGCATCGTGGTGATTGAGGTCGCGAGGGATTGTAAAGCTGGATAGGGACATCTTCTTGGCCGCTGAGAGGAGGAATGGCGGTACTGGTCGGCGGACCGTTCGTCGGAGGTGCACGGACAGCCACCGGGCGGGCGTCATCAACGGATCGGAAGGAAGTCTAGCAGGGGGTTGGGTGTGTTGGTTGGTTGATGAGTTGGCGGTTTTGTCTCACTGAATTTGACTAATGGAATGATTGGACGCGAGGAGCAGCGTGAGTGAGTAGGTAATGTACACATGTACAGTGCTTGTACTCGTTTGACGAAAGGGAGAGAGCTGTTTTGTGCTCGGGCGATAGATAGATAAGTGTATAAGTTAAGCTGTGTTTTGTTGTTGGTTGGTTTGGCGGAATGACGTCGTGGTTGGGGGAACGTCAACTGGTGGAAGAAGGAAGTGTAAAGGGAAGGAACAGAAAAGGCAAGAAGACAATTAACAACTCTCGACTGAACTTATCCAGAGTCACATCTTGATACTTCTTTCTCTCTACTGCACTCTTCCGGCCTTGACTTCCCCTTTTCTTTGATTCTTCCGAGATTGAATAGACAACAAACAACACAACACCTCTCAGACAAACCGCCGCCGACAGCAACAGACTTTAAAGCCTTAGCCTCCTGGGCTGGACTCTCTTTGCCTTTCCCCAGTCAACCAATCACTCCTGCAGGTCATGCTGTATCGTCCCCATTCCCACGGTCGAAGCTCCCAATAGTTAACTGACCGGATCAAATGCTGCTCCTGGTCTGCTGCTCCGCATGGCTCTTCGCTTCTGCCTCGTCTCTGGCGGGGTCGGGTCTGACGGTCAGTGAGTGAGTGAAAGGCTCGCTTCCCCGTCTTCCCCGTGACCTTCGCTTTGTCCGAGAGCCCATCGCCTCCTTCACTCATCGCCGTGTTTGCTTTCCGTCTGCTCCCTTCCCCTTCGACTCCATACTCAGCTACGATCGTGTGCGTGTTAGGCCTTTTGCACCCGCCGCCGCCGCCCTCACAAGCATCAGTCTCCCCTCTGTCTCTCTGCCTCTCTGCCTCTCTGCTCTCTCATCGGTCTCTCACCGTCTCTATCCCTAGCTATACTTTACGTTCCCCACAATAGTGCCTTTGTCTAGAGGCTGCAACCTTATGTTGTTCTCTCTACTTTGAGACGACGCGGCGCTGTGTGCTTCTTTAGTTGAGGCCGTGTTAGCCCGGTTGAGCTGAGCCCGCATCCAAGATCGTCCAAAGTTAATAGCCTGACTGTGTGCCAGAACACCTGACCTGGGCTCGGAATCTATCCAGGTTTTGCTGGATCACGCTGTGGTTCTTGTTTTTGCCTCTGCCTCGCCTCGAGGACCCCTGCTCTCTCCAGAGCCCGACTGGTGTTCATTCAAGCGAGACAATGAGAGGGAGTTTGCAAAGGCCTTAGTAGGCGAAACGAGTCTTCTGCGATTCCGCGAAATCTGGAATGGTACTTCCTCGAGTACCCGGCAAACAGAACTACCACAAGTGTCCGTGCTGCCTCTTTGAGCTTGAATATCCATCGAGCACAAGACCTGTAGGTCTTTGTTGAAAGATCAAAGTAGTGAATAGGAGAAAAGATCACGTGAATACGGCCTCCATCGACTCACACTGCCCATGCCACATCGCCGGCTTGACTTGCAATCAATTAATTGTGAATGATGGTTGCTCTACTTCGTCATATTTTCGGACCGAGCTGCACTGATCACTATGACGATGGTCATCTTGATCTGAACCGATCCGTTTCCCGTTTTCTGGGTCGTTATTCTTGATAGAAACCGCAACACGGCAGTGAATATCAAGTTCTGCTAGACATCGAGAACCAGGGCATGAGATCGGCTCGGCTTCTACATTTTTTGACGTGTGAACGTGCTAGAGCCCCTCTCGCTACCCACCGTGAACATTGGCCAGGGAAGTTGTTAATATTCTTCTCCAGTGAAGTCAACAATTCTGGCATCTGAAAGTAGCTTTTCTCTTAGTCTCCATTTTCTTCTTAGAACCTCACTTCTACTGACTCAGCCTGCTTCCTGTCACTCTCTGTTCTTCCTACCTTATTTGAACATACAAATACCTGCAATTTCATTTAGATCTTCTTTTGGGCCTCGTCTGGCTTCTGGAGTGTGTATACCGCGTTTGACTTAGACCATCCCCTCCTCAGCCCGAGTGTTGTTTGCTTTACTGTGATCTTCGACAACAAATAACCTACGCGTTAGCACGATAGCACAGTGTCGATCGACGATGGAAAGCTCGCCCCCTTCAATCGCAGAACCATGTAACATCATGGGCACATGGGCCAGTTACGCCACTTCTCCCACTGACTCGCATTCGAACACTCAGGCCTCTGCGGCCCCGAATAGACAGCGAGATTTCCACAATCCTTCCATCGATTCGAATGATGGCGACACAACAATGTCTGGCTATGCCCAGGCCCATGGTCACGAAGTCAACAGTGGGGCCGGAAGCTACATGTCTCAAGAGACCCCAGTACATCAGCCTCCTCTAGACTACGCACGGGCTCGCTTGCCACCACGAAGACGGCGGGTATACAATCAACTTTCAGTACAGCAGGAAAGAGTATTTCTCAACCAGGCGCTTGACGGTACCCAAGCCACATATTATGCTCCCGCAACTGCTATGGTCCAGCCATCAAACCGAATGGGTACTCAAATGAACGGTCTTCAAGCAGGAGGCGTAATGGCATTGTACAATTCGAACCCAACTTCATTAGAGCCTAGGACAAGCCACCAGGGACCTGTCGCGCAGCCTAACTATCCGTCCTTGGGATCTAGAACTCTGCCGCAGACCCAAGGGGTTGTGTCGAATGGATCCATGCATGGACTAGGCCAGCCGCAACTGCAACAGCAGCAGACTATTGCTCGCATGCCATTCCCAGTATCTGTCTCATTGCCCAGGGATAGTATGCAATCCTCGGCTGTCCCAATAACGGTACCAACATGGACACCCCAGTATGCGGCAGCTGTGCGGCCACTGCAGCTGCAGCCGCAGCAGCAACAGCAGCAACAACAACGGCACGATGAATGGCCACCATGGGAGCCTTCGCCAAGGCCTGTTGCAGCTCTTCCTACACGAACACCTCAACTGACGGCTTACGGCAGAGTACCGACAGGAATGGTGAATGGAACAGTAACGATGCACCCTCCACCCAATCCTCAGGCCCGGGTGCGGCGTTCTCAGTTGATGCATATGATGCAGCAACCGCCAAATCCAGCTGATGCCCGCGCTATGCAGGAATATGCCCACAGCTTGAGCCGGAACCAACGCCTGCGTCAACCCCAGGGAGCCAGTACCAACCCTCCTTTGCATCCGGTGAAGAGTCTGGACAACCAGAACAACGGCCGCCCGGACCCGAAGGAGTCGGAAGAGCTGACCGTCAACCTGGAGTGCAAAGTCTGCTTCACGCAATTGGTCGACACCGTCTTGATGCCATGTGGCCACGCGGTGCTCTGCCGGTGGTGTGCAGACACCCATATGCCGAGCTGTCGGAATGACCCGACTCGTCTGGAGGGGAATCCGAGCTGTCCGATTTGCCGTGGGCCGGTGAGACACAAGGTCAGTCAGATAGCCGCTACAAGAAAACAGGGGACACTTTCTTGTGGTTCCTTCCCAAGACAAGCTTGGCTAATGTGATATCCAGGGCCGCATTTACTTTTCGTGATTGTTGTGGTGGTAGAGTCGCTGCCTTGTTTTTTTGTTTCTTATTGCTGCATTTGGACAACGGCGTTCGGTATCGATGAAAGAATGAGATGTCATGTCGCTGCACCAAGACCAGATATTAGAGAGTCATGAGGTAGGTGAAGAAAATACAGTACAGGACTTGACAAACAGATTCTACAGTGTCATTGCTTTGGGGAGCTCACTTTTGTCGCTATTTTCTGGAGACACCAAGAAATAAAACATGAAAATTGAATCATCCCGGATTCATTTCAGAAATTATTTCAGTCTGCCCACAGAGACCTGAAGTTGAAGTCATGATAGATAGCTCCACCAACCCTATCCCTCAAACCAGCGAAAGCTGTGATGCAACACGCACATGCATACCATACCATAGAACCCCCCAGAAAGGAAAGTCAGTCATCAGTCTATAGTCCACCACAGTGGAATGGAAAGATATCCCCGAGGTCACGTTACGAACATCTGCAGCCACCGCATGGTAGTACTTACCAAAAACTAGAAGTAGTAGTCCAGCGGCGTGGCAGCCACCATACCATACACCAAACTGTATAACCTGAAAATAGAAAGAGCCCCAAGAAAGCAGAGACCGGGGCCACCCAAACACCGGATCGAAGGAAGCTTGCCTTGTTCTCCCCCTGGCTTCTGTTACCCCCCCTTGTTCCACAATCCGTGGATCCTGATCCGCCTTCTATACACCGTAATCTGCCAAACCCCTACCATTATTTTCTCCCCGATTGTCTTCCCGATGATCTCCCCGAGCCCGCTCCTGTCAACTTGCCCCGTCCGTCCGTCGGGGCCGCCTATCTTGATTACTGAGAAGGGAAGTTTAAGAAGAAAGACGAAAAAAAAAAATCTCTCGTTCGATTCGATCCGATCGAGAGCCGTTCATTGGCAGATCTGAGGAATGCTGGGGCTTGATTCTGTCATCGGAGATCTCTCGATTCAACCCTCGGACCCGATCTTGTCGACTACTGGTGATTATGTGTTCGGTCTTCAAGACTTTCTACGAGCAAGGCGGTTTATCTGTCGCTGCTTGTCACTCTTACATGTGTTCCATTGTCCGCTCTCTTGTGATATACCTGTCGTTGAAGGACGGTCCAGACCCTGGGACATGACTCGCCGGTGGTCCTGCTGCTGCTGTTGGTGTGTTCACCGCTGGCTTTCTCCTTCCGAGGCCTGTCGAATTCGCTCGTAGAGGTCCCTTTTCTTCTTGTATGTATTGGGTAGGAGGAATGCATCAAGTTTCAATTGAATCCGCGCGAGTCCCCACTTGGATTCTGGGTCAATCTTCAGAGTTGTCCCCAGTTCTTGCTTGTCTGGGACAAACATGGCTACTTAGCCGGGGCTAATTGATCTGTCTTGTCTGCCTGTCAGTGCAATTAATCCAGTCGGTCAGCCACAATCAGCAATAGACGGACAGGATGAAGATCGCGGATTGGTTTCTCTATCCTGTTTCGATTTTGGCTTTTTTCTTGTTCCCCCCGTCGGATTTCCTGGAATTCCTCTCTCTTTGATCTGATCGATACCCACTTGCCGTTGTTCCCCGCTCACACTGTTCCTGGATCTCTCCCCTGGGGCTCTTGGTCTATGTTTTCCCGGCCGGCTAAGTGGCAGGTCTAGTGCGCGCCTTGCTGGCAAAGGTTATACTCGGTGGTGGTCAATTGCCTTTGTGGCCATGTTTCGCGTCATCCTACTCTATGCTTGAGTCAGTTGCGAAGTTCTGTCCGGAACAGTACATCCTAAACCACACTTAAACAAGACCAGTCCCTGGGAAGGTTTCGAGCTGTAGCCACGCGACGAGGAAGCTGCGAATATCTCCGAGTCGGTCCCGAGGAGGTGGCACAGGCAGTAGATCCCAGTCTGGCGGAAAAAGTCTATGATACTCTCTTTCGCGCAGGTATCCTGGTTTCTCGATCTTCCGTCCTTGATTGATTGATGTGTTCCCACTTGCTTGGTGCCTGGAAAATGGAGTCCGGAACATCGCTGCTGACCGGTTTCGGAGGCATGTAGCAACCCATTGAGGCAGGATCAATGAACACACAGTTTGTAGCACGTAGCTTTAGCGAGGAGCTATGCAAAAGACCAAATACTTGAATGTGCCGTGTAGATGACTTGGAGTGTAGTTGACTGATCCCTCGGAATTGAGTTCCAGATCGCCGATAAGAGAAAGTCCATTTTCCGTGGCATGAATGACCGAAGCTTGTAGCGAGAAGAAGGTCTACTGGGTGGGGGCCTATCAAGTCGATCAAACTGACGTGCCATATGCATTGGGGGGGGGCTCTTGAACCAATAGCCGGTGTTAGGTTGGCACGAAGTACCTGCTGGCTGTGGCTGTTTTGGCGACGGATGAGATCCCACGAATAAAATTGCCTGGGAACACTCGGGTTTTAGTAACGATGCTGGTGCTAGTGCAGTTGTCTTTGGTGGGCGATCTGACACTGCAGGGTCGCTTTGCATATATTGTGCTCCGCATCGAAGAAGGTGATGTGGGGGTTCGAGGATTGAAGTAGAGGTGTAGGGAGGGACGAGAGAAGAGTAAGTTGCCGCACTTGAGAAGATGTATAGCAACGGTAATTGGTAAGTTTTTTCTCATTTGTCCGAACTCGAGCTCTTTCGTCCATGGCCATGCGTTGTCAATCGACGTGGCTTGCATCGTTGACACTAGGGGGTAAAAGGCCAGGTCAGGGGCATCATCGGTTGTATTTCTGAGAAAGAGGGGCTGATCGCCTTTCCCCTGGTTTGAGTGTCATATACGGAGCTTCGTGAGGAAAAAGAACCGATTGAAGCTCTTTCCTTCATTATGGTTGGTGGTTTTTGAAGTCGATGAACAATCTAAATTACTCGATAATGCGCGAAGAAAGCATGCGCCAAGGAGCGGCAATGCACATGGCCGGGTATGGGTCGGTCGCATTGGTTTAAGGCAACCACCAGACTCTTTGCTTGAGTGGCTCGTCAAGGAGCGAGGGTCTAGTTACGTGGGAGCAATCAATTAGCGCTGTTACCATAGGTCATTAGGTGAGTTGATCACCCTTGGAGAGAAAACTAGTGGTTCATGTGCTAGGATTGTTGGGAGAAACGAGATACTAGGTGATACCATGCAGACAAATATGGACTAAACGGCGTGAACGTGGTAACTCAGTTGCTGAAGGTGTCCCGAGACTAGTGATTCTTCAGAGGATAGTCTCAAGAATTGTCTCGGTATAAAGTAGTAGTCAACAATGAGTGCATTGCGAGAACATAGCGGTATATCCGTCTGCCTCGGTTCGGTGGGGTGTACGACAGTAGTCACCTACTGTGTACTGCATGCAGATCAGACCTTCTGCTGAGTGAAAATATAGATCGAATTCTGTGCGTGCCATCAAAAGACACCAGTATGTTCTAGTGATGGGGCCAGGCCAGCTTTCGACAACAGTTCGCTCGGCAAGAACGAAGCATGTATGCAATACACACTGTAGAGTCCATCCGATAGGAGGATACTTGTAGAGAAAGAGCTAAGGTAATCTTGATCATGTTACGTAATTCGAGGACGAAGTAACTTATGACTTAAACGATGAGTATCACATAGTATACGTATTCAAAGTCTCTTGCAGTATGTAAATGCATGTTTGTGTATGTTTATGTTCAGTACGGTAATTGGAAGCTCGGATCTTAATACTCTTTTAAAAATGTACGTAACTTGATGTACGGAGTTTAGTACAAATGTAAATACTATCAGATATCTCTTTTCGATGTTAATGCCTTTTGCTTCCGGCGCTGGCCCAATGTCAATCAGGCAGATAACTTTAGGTGATAATCGCGCACTGACAAGCCGAGGCTATAGTATGCCTAACTATAGTCAGGCATTTGGATTTTCAGATAGGATCTCGTGTCTGACACCTACATTATACGAGCTGGTGGGACCACGAATAACCCAAAGATTAGGGTTGATACGCTCAGACTAAACTGAGTGCAGATGGCAAATGTGTTTCCAAGCTCCCATAAAAATGACTGATATCCAAAACTATTCATAGCTAGTAGGTTCCACCATTGAATACGATTGTTTTTTCGTGAGTGGTCGGTGACTTAGACAGCAAGTGCTCACTAGGGCACCACCAGCCTTATTGGAACAACCTTGGTAATCAGACCCTGGAATCCAAAGGCAGCAGCTTCCATCATCGATGCTGAACGTGGCGCGCTGATCATGGTCAAATCCCCCCTCACGCGTTACTTGCCCAGACAGAGGCAGTGTAACCGACAATGTTCATGGTGGTACGGCGTACCTTCTAGGATGCTAGTAGCCTTCATTTATACAGTCTCGCTGGTACTGACCGACCTGGAATCTCGTTGAATGCCAGGATTTTGCACGCATGGGCAACCCCGACGTGACTACCTCGCAAAGATTGCTGTCAATGTCTATCAATAGACCGAATAAGCGGTGTCCATGCAAGGGTAAACCCGATTATTTGGGATGAAGGGAATACCCTCCCCCGAGGAAAAGGTCCAGAAAACGGCTATTGCGGCTCCGCCGGGTGAAAAGTCCTGCTAAGTAACAGGAAACGAAGAAGCCTGTTCATCATCAGCAAAGTGAGTAGGATCGTTGCAGAGGCCAGAGAGCACCGTCCAAGATTTGCGTACGTGAGACCTTCAGATCGACAATGATTCATGAGAATATCGCGGGGAAATTGATCGAGGCCAGGATTCAGCCGTCAAACTATCAGCTTGTCAATGAATGGGATGTCATAGCGATGAGCAGCCTGGCCAGGGAATGTGGATTAGTGGTGAAGTATCAACGATTTCGCGTGGAAAGTTGTTCGAGAAAGCCCATAATGCACCCTATGACGCAAGGGTAGAGCCATCATCATTCCTGGAATTAAGCTTGTCAGTCAAGTGGCAGCGATGAG